AAAGGGAGGGAAGGCGTAGGCTCCGTGTTCGGCCATGGTTGTAGGAATTCGTCTACCGCTTTGCTCTCCGCGTACGGGAGCCAGCTGAAGTATAGTGTTGTTTGTCTGTTGTTGCGGGATGCAAACAGATCCAGGTGAAGCGGACCTCGACGTTCCGTTATGTGGTCGAAGATCCGTGGATCCAGTTTCCAGTCGCTGGTGTACCACCAGTGGCGTGAGAACCAGTCTGCCGTGAGAACCAGTCTGCCGTGAGAACCAGTCTGCCGTGAGGTTCATCTACCCTGGGAGGTATTCTGCTGTGAGGGAGATATTGCGGGGTAGACAGAAATCGAAGATCTCTTTCATTATTTCTGACAGGAGACGGGAGCGGGCTCCGCCCAGGCGGTTTATATAGCGGACTGCGGAGATGTTGTCCATCCTGAGGAGGATGCAGCAGTCCGACTTGTCTTTTGCTAGGCTGCGGATAGCGAATGACCCCGCTAGGAGTTCTAGGCAATTTATATGCATGTTGAGGTCCTGGGAGGTCCAGGCGCCTCCTGTCGATGTACGTCCGCTTGTCATGCCCCATCCCCAGAGGCTGGCTTTTGATTCCAATATCATGTCGGGTGTCTTTCCGAAGATGGCTCGGCCGTTCCATGCTTCCATGCTGTCTAGCCACCATTTGAGCTTGTCTCTGACTTCTTCTGTCATCGGGACCGGTTGATCGTATGAGGGGTTTTCCCTGAGGAAGGAAGCTGTGAGGTGCTGCATTGCCCTGTAATGGAGTGGACCAGGGAATATTGCTTGTATGGAAGCAGAGAGAAGTCCCACTATTCGAGCAAGGGCGCGGAGTGGAATGGTGTGGCAACGAATGGCTCTGCGTAATTCCTTGTGAATGGCCGAGATTTTTGATGTCGGCAGTCGCAGAGTGCTGGAGATGGAATCTATCTCGAATCCCAGGAATTGTACTGTCTGTGATGGAGAGATAGCCAATTTTTGAAAGTTCACTATAAATCCCAGGGATGACAGGAGATCCGTAGTATAGCGTGTGTGTTGTACCAGTCTGGATTTGTCGGAGCAGAACATCAGGACGTCGTCCAGGTATATAATGCAGGGAATTCCTTGCGCTCGAAGATGAGCGACCACGAGCTTCAGTAGTTGGCTGAAGCACCATGGGGTCGAGCTGAGGCCGAAGGGGAGACACATGAATTGCCAAGGAAGGCCTTGCCAGTGGAACCTTAGGAATTGTCGGCAGGATTGGTGGACGGGTACTGATAGGTATGCGTCCTTGAGGTCTAGTCTTGTAAACCAATCCTTGTCTTGTAATAGGTCCCGTAGAAGATGTATGCCCTCCATCTTGAAGTGTCTGTATGTGACGTATTCGTTGAGTCGTCTTATGTTTATGATGGGGTGGAAGCCTCCCGTTTTCTTCTTTACTAAGAGGATGTTGCTGAAGAAACCTCTAGGGTCGGAGGCAGGTTCGATCGCGCCTTTCAAGTACAGGATTTGCAATTCGTTGTTGATGAGGAAGGTATCCTCTGTTAAGCAGTTGATGGGATGGTCGTTCCTTCTATCATGGTTGGTCTAAGAAGTTGATGATGTAGCCCTGTATCGTCTATAGGATCCATGCATCCGTGGAGATGGAGTTCCATTCCTGGTAGAAAAGAGATATGTGACCAGCTGTACGCATTGGGAGAGAAAATTGAGTGAAGCGGTTGCTTACCTGTGGAGAAGCGTGCTCTGCCTCGGGTGCGTTGTCCGCGACCTCTGTCTGCGCCTCGAGTGTAGGAGGATGGTTGGTATCCCACCTCTGGGTAGAAAGGTTGGGGTCTTGTAGTGCGGGGGCCTGAGGGCCAGAATTGACTGGCAGCACAGCCCCTTTGGCGGCCAGCTCGTTCAAAAACACCCCTAGAGGTGTTTTGTCTAAAGACTCTCCGCATTGAGATCTGAGCCTTGTTTAAAGATGTGAAGACGTTTACATGTCCGCTCAAATCTTTGAGGAAAGGATCTCCAAATAGTTTGCCCTGTGCCAAAGGACCTAGTTCCATGGTGTCCAATTCCACCAACTTTCCGTCGATGCGGAGAAGTGCTGCTTTACGTCGCTCAGATGATAAGGCGACATTGCCATTACTCACAAAGCAGAAGCATCTTTGTGCCCACTCCCGTACATCATGAGCCCATTTGCGCACCATAGTGGCGTCGAATTGATCGGCTTTAGCCAGGGCATCATTGGCCAAATACATTATTCTGGACAGTGGTCCCACTGAATCTAGAAGTTTATCTTGTACCCCTCTAAACCCTTTCTCCACTACTTTGCGTGGGTCATGGCCACCTCGTGACATAAAGGTGGTCATCACCTGACCGAATTCTGGTGTTTCCGCCACGTGGTCAGGTAGACAGGGTTGTGGGCATTCTGACAGCAGTCGGTTGCGAACTGTCTTGTCCATGGATTTACGTAACCAGAGGTGCATGAACCTAGCTAGGTGGTGTCCAATTGCCTGATCGTGGATGTCTTATTTTTCTAGGGTGGAATATTTTTTGGCCCAGCGGGTCGAAGATGGTGTCTTCGTCTTCCTGCGGTGGTTCCGCGGTATTTGGTTCTTGGAGTTCTCCCATAAACGTGTTCTGCTGGAAAAAGGATTGGGATCCGGAGTCCGAGCCCCAAGCGTCCTCATTAGAGTCCGACTCATCCGCTTGGCCATGGATTTAGGATGAGTCTCTTCTTCCTCAGAAGAATATTCGTGTTGAGTGTTCGGGTGGTCGTGGATGAGGGTTTGGTACGTTTAGTGGGGTTTTTGCCTTTGTCTGGGTTTTGATGACCCTTTTCTCCTTTCCAATGGTGTTTGCCAGTGTGGGCTTCTGGCTCTTATGCGATTCTGGGGCATCAGAATCTGAATCGTGGCGGGATAGGTGAGTTTTTGATGGTTTCCTCTCGGAACCAGAGGCCATCATTTTGGAGAGAACTTTCTCCATGGAGGTGGCTACGGCCTCATTTACCATATGTTGGACATCTGTCGGATTTTGAGAGGTCTCCATAATGCCTGAATATGTTTTGGCACAGGGTGTAATTGATAGAGGTCAGTATGCTGTATTGTAGTCAGTATATAACTGTATGAATATCGTTATGCAGGCCCCAGCAGGGTGCAATAACGTGCAATTGTTGTACAGCAGGGTTGGCAGATATATATGGTACCCCGGCGGGGTATTAGTAGTGGTAGGATAATTCAGAGGACCCCATCAGGGCTCTATGGGTTATAATAAAATGGTAGAATATGAACAAAATAACCCCAGCGAGGTTGTAAATAAATGGTACCCCAGCAGGGTATAGGTAGTGGTGTGCAGAATTCAGTCTACCCCAACAGGGTCTTGTAAACACCCCAGCAGGGTATATAGTGTAAATGGCACTAATGGTGTTAAATAGCCCCAGCAGGGTAGAAGAAGAACACCACTTGTTGGGATTTGTAATATTCTGGGCCTCACCCAGGATTATACAGGTGGCCACAAGGCGACCTCCTTAGCAACACAGTATAGGGGCAGCACCCCAGTTAGGCACAGGTTAATCACCTTATGTGCCTTATACAGCTTAGCCAGACTGACCACTGTAGCAGACTTGGGTATAGAAAGGTTCTTCTGTGCGGTATTCTTTCGAGTTATATTGTCCTGATGGTAGTTTGTGGCACTCGCGGCACTCGCAGTGTAATCCACGATGGCGGCCGCAATCTCGCAAGATACGAGATTTAAGATGGCCGCCACGTGAGTAGAGCCGCGGCTGAGGCCGGGCCGCGGCAAAATTAGGTGAGAGGGAGCCGTCGAGTGACAGTGAGGCAGGGAAGGGGAAAGGAATCCTGCAGATAAACTCGGGAGGGCGGAACAAAGTGGGAAATATAAAATAGGGAGAGAAATAGGCGAGACTAGGGAGAAAGTTAACCCTAGCAGCCCCAGTAATACAGCTATGAGAGACGAAGGCACAGAAAGAAATATAGAGAAAACAAAACAATATACAGAATAAACAGCAAACATATATGTATATATATATATATATATATATATATATATGTAGTAAGATAATAACATAAACATTCATATAAGGTATAATAAAGGGAAGAGCCAAAACTCTGACCTGTCTGCGATGGAGCAGTAAAGAAAGAGGAGGAGTAGCCTATTTACTGGGATAATATACTCCCTATTGCATTTTGATTGGTTAAATGTTTTTCACTTTCTTTACTGCTGTGGAGTTTAGTAAAGAGAGTTATGCAAAATGTCTCTCTTATGCTGTGAGAGCAATATGTTCTGCTTTACTGTTTTATCGCTTACCTTGGTTGGGTACTTGGCAATTGGTGACACTGCCATTTGTTGAAGCTGTATAAAATGAAAATCATATAGAGAGGTGTATAATTCTCTCTACTACAAATGAGTTCAGAGATTATACCTTAATCTAGTCTGAATAAATTATGAATACTTTACCTTTTTATCATTAATGATAACCATTTACCGTTTTTGAAAACTCTCACATATATGTCTGCAGAGCTCAGTCTCACTAGAGGTTCTAATGTCTAGTCAAGGATTTATTTTTCTACTTTCCTCAACAAAACAAACAAAATGGATTATCCTCAAAGAACCATGTTTTTTCATAATTTCCCACCTTCATGTGGGTATATTTGCATCTTATCATGACTAAGAATGTTGGTGTTTTTTTATTTGGAACCTCTGTATACAATTCCATATTATAAAGAAGTGACAATACTATTATATCCCTTATATATAGCCATGGAATATACCAAAATAATGTCTTTGAACCCATAATAGGACAGCACCCCCAGTTGTGTTTAATCACCAGAAACACGTTCCCCGTTTACTTACGGGTATTTTTTTTGTACCACGGAATATACTGATTACATTTGTTAGAACTTTTTTTTTTTTTTTTACTGTTTGTCTTCACAGCTCTGTGAGCCAAAGCAAGTGTCTGTCTGATTTCAGCCAGTGTGACAGTTTTTGTATCTCTTCCTCATTTGCTGCTATCACAGTGTTACTGGCTCCCAGTCCATGTAGCACAGTAATAAACTGCTTCATCCTCAGATTGCACTCCAGATATAGACAGGTACCCAATACTGCCTGAGCCAGAACCCACAAACCGTGAGGGGACCCCCTGACACATCCCCTTGCTGGATTCAGTAAAATAATAAAGGATGCATGTTGGATTACTATCAAATTTCTGCTGATAAAATTCCACCCTATTGCTGCTGACAGTGAGCCCCCCACCTAATGTACAACTCATTTTAACATTGTTTCCAGGGGAGGTATTGATTGATGGCTCTTGTGTCACTGAGTGTTGAGCGTCGGCTCCTGGAAAGAGAAACACACAGAACAAGATATTAATTACACTAGATGTTTCACAAACCCCATTGTTATGACTGTGATACCAGGGTAACATTTATGTTGATCCTGTATAAGTAACCAACCCCTATGGACACAGCACACGTCTTAGACTAATTATTACATTTAGTGCTAAAACTGCCTCTGTCAGCAGAGTTTACAGTAACAGTCTATTGATTACCGGTTAGTAAAACAGCAAGCAGACCAAAACTCAGCACAGCTGCCATGATACAGACAGACAGGTGGATCACTCACAAATGATGATTTAACTCTGTCACACTATACAGTGTTATATTACAGAGAGGATCACATGCACATCCTATATGCAAAACATGAACATGACATTAAAATATAATTTGGTAAGTTAACAAAGACACTTTACATATGTGACGCATTAAAGAAACACTATAGGGTCAGGAACACTAACAAGTATTATAGACCCTATAGTGCTAAAACCACAATCTACTCCCCCTTTTCCCCCTAAATATAAGAAAAATATTACTTTTATTCCAGTCTGCTGCTGGCTCTGACCCTGATCTGCTTACTTGGCTCTGTAATTCAAATAATTGTTATTAACATTTTTTTGTAACAAATCAAACAATTAGGCAACTCTACCCATGTTCAAATTATCACTCTTACATACATCCATAACTTTTATCATTATAAATACTTATATTCCTGGATTAATTGTGTAATATTGATATGCCATTTTCATTTTTATTCCCTTCTTTTCCAGTGAATTTTACATTTGTTCATTTTTTCCTGATGTGACTACACACAAACACCATACTAAAACATATAAAAAAGACAATGTCAACCAAAATCATCTGGGTTATGGGGGGACAAGGGGGTAGCTCTATATATAGTTTTATATTTTTTCTTGTGCTTTCTTTCATTCTCTTTTTCTTACTTTCTGATTTAATCTAAATCTGGATTTAATATCCAGGGATCCCAAATCTTCTTGTATGCTTCTGTTAACCTTTAGTTCCTATGAGTTTTCAGGTTACCTCTGATGTATGTCCCTTGCAACAAAACAGAGTTGCAATTGAGATTAAATCATAATAACTAGCAAACACAATGTGGTAATTTGAATAAACAATTGTAACTGATGATACAATTGTAGCTAGTAGTGTACATAAATAGTGGAGCCTAAATAATTAGAATGACTCACAAAAACTGCTAGAGACAAAGAAAGCAGGTTGGAAGGAGGCTAGAAAGTGATGATAAAGTGGCGGGTGAAAATAAGTCATAGTTAATGCTTTCCTAAATTTAGTCACATAAGTCTGCTCCAGTCCTAACAGGAATGATACTCGGGATTCATGTAGGAGTGTGGTGATATCGATTGAGAGACCACACAGAGAGTTGTTACAATGAATCACCGGAGTCCCCTGACGCGCGCGTTTCGCCCACAACTCATCAGAGGGGAGCCGATGTGTGGTAAGTATCAGCTATTTAAAGGTCATGGGTGGAGCTGATAGGGGGAATTTGAAAAAGACCGCTGATTCGGTTTGACCAATGGAGATTGCCGGTACGTGTGACAATAGCCTGTGATGTGTGTATGATTGATTAACCCTGTCAGGTACATTGTGCTAGGGTACAGGGAAGATAGTTGATAAAGTTTGAAAAACAAAGAGGGGGGGAAAATGAGTTTGAAGATGTAAGATAACCTAGAAAGATAAAGAATAGTTCTAACTTTTGTTTATATGCCAATAAAATATGTCCGATAAAGTGAGAGTGGTTATTAACACTGTCCGATCATCATGGCAGTGCATGAAAGCGAACAATATTGGTGTTCAGAGGGAAATAGAAAAACCAATACTGCCATAGAGAAATTGGACAGACTGGACGGATACAGGTGGAAAAAATAAGAATGTAAAGATAAAGGGAATATAAAATATGGCACCCTATACAGGTCCAGCTGTATGTTGAAGTACAAAAGACTACCTAGATAGGTGCCGAAATGGTTAATAAGTTTCCATAGCGATATGCGAAAGGGATTACTAAGATGCAACATCAGGTCCAAAATCAAAGTATCGATCCCAAAAAGAGAGGACGAGAAGACACCTCATAATAAAGAAGATTGGAATAGAAGTGGAATAGTGTACAGAATTACCAAGTAAATCGTTTTCCAATCAGCTTTTTTGTCTTTTAACCATTTTGGTGTATGTATTCTCGACTCTTGGACATTAGATATACACCAACATATTTAGTACCTTGTTTTATACACCAACATATGTAGTACCTTGTTTTCTCTCCCTTTTTCCTTCTTTTTACATTTACACGAATAAAAGTTAATTTTTAAATTTATTACATTTAGAGCACTCTAAGTCTCTTTCCTTTTTCTGCTCACTACCTAGGTAGTTTACTGTGGGTTAACCCCATTTTTGAGTGCTCTCTGAGCTTCCACGCTTTCTCTTTTTTTTTCTTCCTTTAGTTCCTATATATCGTTTTTTACATTGTTTGCTGATAACTTATGATTGTCTATTTCTTTCCATGTCGGAATAATCCTAGATCCTCAATACCTTGCCAAGCAGGTCTTAACTGACAACATGATATGTATAATTATTATTTTTAATACTTTTCCTTTTGTTGGAAAATCTATATGGAATAGAAATAGTTGAAAAGATAACGACGCATATGAATTATTAAAGATCTTACTAATACTTTATGTTACTTTGCATTTTAAGGGATCAAGTTCATAGCATTTCCACCAAATATGACTCTGTGATCCAACTTCCCTTGTATATTTCCAAAATCTTTCATTATAAGACGGAATCAAATTTTTAGATTTTGGATGGTACCCAGTTACCATCTATGGACTAATTTTGTAGATATTAACACAGTGGATGGCTTTCTTAAAATGATTCCTTCAATTGTTCCATGGAGAATTCCTTTCCTAATTCTTCTTTCCATCTTATCATTGGGCCTCATTACCCCTTGTATTTTTGTTTATATATAATTTTTAATATTCTTTATTTTTGAGATCAGATATAAATACACATTTGAGCAATGTCACATGACATAAGAGATTTAACATTATATCGCTTTGAATAAACATGGTATGCTCCACTTTTTTTTTCTTTTTTTTTTAACAAGTAATAGAAAAAATACAAATAGGCTTGTCAACAATCAGGGTAATCAAGTCTAGTCCTAGCTGGCATTGCGTGTCTGTAACTATATAGACTTGCTAGACACGTGGATAATACACGAAAATAGAAAGTATAGCATACATGAACAAGCTTTGCGGTACTAATTAATTTCCATAGTGAACTTTGGTATGTATGTGATAGAGGAATGTATTACATGAGGGTTATGTAGTATTCAAGTTAGTAACATGATGTTAGTGAGTAACGTGATGGTTTTCTTTTAGCTTAGGCAACAATAGATTGTGGGTAGCTTAAAACTCTGCTGGAGTTTGTACATAGTGTAAGCTTATAAGGTATGTGTCATCCCGTAAGTTGGTTAGATGTGCCTGTGCAGTGCTAGTCGTGGAATTAACCCCTGAGCAGCCCCAGTTTAGCGTGGAATGTGTTCACATGAAAGCATACATTCAGAAAAAACAGTAGTAGCGTATGATTAGTAGTAACATCAGCCTGGTTTTAAATGGAGACAACGGATTATTATGGCAGCAGCTGCAGCTTATAGAGATGTTGATGGCATTGTTCTCAGGGTGACTTGTCAACGTCAGCCAATGCCTTGGCTCAGTAGAGTGGGGGACACTCCGGGCAATGCATTTGAGTAGGGTGTGCCAGGGTATTGCCCACACCTCCCTGCATCTGAGAGGGGGTCTGCATCTGGACCCTAGCAACGTGGTGCTCCAAGTCCCACCCTTTTGGGAGATTGCGGGGGCTTCGTGTGGTCCGCTGCTGCTTTCGGTGTGCTAATCTCCGCCGACATGGTCATTGTTTTACAGTCTTAGCCGGGGTGGCCCTCAGCCCAGATATGCCAGGATTAGGTTTCGCTGCGAAGGTGCTTTGCTTTGAGGGGGCTCAGGCTCTCCCCGGCTCTCGCCTTTACCCTCACTTCCTTGGTACTGAGCTTGTGGGGTCGACATCCTAGCCTCCATCCTTTGCCAGAATCTCTGGAACGCCTCGTCCAGGCATTGCCATATGTGCTCCACCGAGCCAGGTAGGACTGTCTCCGTCCTGTGCATCGCCAGCCTCTGTATAGAGAGCACGACCGCCATCTTGGGGTTGTTTGTCGGGTGCTCCATGTGGCCTGTGTGGCCTGTGTAGGCTCGCCAGATTGCAGTGTGGGCATGTGGGGCTAGTCAGGGGAGACTGGGATAACCCTCGCCGGTCCATGGGGGGGCAGCACTGGTTAGTGTGCTCACCGCATGTCAAAGCAGTAGGAGAGGGGCCATCTCTCCTCAGGCCTGTCGCTGGTAGGCCGCAGAGCCTCGAGACGGGCTTCCCGGTGTTGCAGGGCTTCACAGAGGGTGTCATCAGAACCGTTGGTATCTCAGTATCAAGCTTGTTATAGCTCTGCGTCCAGGTGAGTTTTAGCTCGGTTGTTTCCACGATTATTGGGTGCCAGACGCGGGAGCTCATGCAATACACGTCTGGTCTGGTTAGTAGCTTGGCTCCGCTCCCCTTAGTTTATATATTTTTTGGTTAATTTTTAAGATTATTTTATGTTTATTTTCTTTTATAATCAAAGAATCCAACTCTGTATCTATTGTTAATTTCCTTGTCTGAAATACATTTTTTATTTGAATACATGTATAGTATTCTTTGTCAAACTCCTCTATATATTCTTGTAGTCATTGAAAGGTTTTTAAGTACAAATCTGCTAAGAAAATGTCTCTGATCTTATTTAAGCCCAACTCTTTCCATTTTTTTAGGTTGATATCTTCAATATAGATATTTAAAATATCTATAGTGGTATTTACTGGAAATTTTATTTTTTCTGTAGTTTTCCTTTTAGAGATCTGATGTTGTAATACATATCTTTAATTATTTTGTTTGTTTCCAACATATGGGAAAGCATAATTGCCTCATGTGTTTGATGGATATCTGGAAATTATATGAATGGATCTAAAAACAATTGAGAAATTTAGAAATATGTTGTTGTTTTTTTCAAGTTCTGCATGACATTTTAACTGTGAATGTCATAATACAGTTAGCTTTTACATAGGGCTTTCCCCGTTTTCAGTTTTCACACATTTTGAAATTTTTTCATATTGGTTTGATGGGCCTATTATGTATTTGAGATCGTATGACATCCAAAGAATGAAAATTGCCCACCTCCTTAGAAAAAGAAGATTGTTTGAAAAATAAGACAAGAGGGTATTAGCTAGGCAAATTTTAAAATGCGAGTCAGAACCTCCAAAATACAGACAAATTCAGAACAGTTAGCACCTATGTGTAATGACATGAAGGGTGCTGCCCTGGAACAGAACTGCCCCTTTAAATGTGGGAACCAATACAGCAAAGAGATAAATGCCAAGACACAAATGAATAGGTTAAATCAAGATATATATATAAAATACAGAGAACAAGACAAAACAAAATAATATATATACACAATGCCACAAAATATATACAATAAATCAGGATAAGCACGAATAGTGCAGGCAACGTATACTGAAACAGTCCTTTGGTATAAGGGCAGGATTTTGCAGTTACCACGAGTAGTAGGTAGGGCACAGATCCAGAGTCACAAGACTAATATACTGACACCAGGAAGCAAGGTCAGAAACAGAATAAATGAACAAGGCGGCAGGGTCAGGATCACTGGTAATAAAGCAGAGAACACGGAACTAGAACACAGGATCGGAGGGCACAGGAACAAAGGACCAGGAGAACACAGTAACGCAGGATCAGGAGGACACAGGATGAAGACCAGGAGAACACAGGAACGAAGACCAGGAGGTGCAGGACACAGGACCAAGGAACAGTATGCAGGATCAAGGAGCTAGGAGCCAGAATCACAGGAAACCAGGAACCAGGGAAACAAGAGACAATGATCTGGCAAGGAGTGAGGGGAGAAACCAAACTATATAGGTGCTAAATAAGGACCAGGTGAAGTGCTTAACGAAAATAAATTAGGAACAGTGCCAAACAAAGATAGTGGTGAATGTGGGTACTGCACGAGGGCAAATCAACTAAGGAGTGTCGTGACACTATGAGGGTAGGTGTAGGTTGAAAATTCAAGTGTCCCTCCAGCACCGCTTCCAACTGATACAAGATACAGGAGATATAACTGGTTTAGTCCAGTGGGTTCAACTGACTACCAATCCATGTAGTGCAGTAATAAACTTATTCATATAAATAGACTGCACTCCAGAGTTAGCTAGAAACCCTGATCCAGAGCCCATAAACTATGCAGGGACTCCCTAACATATTATCTTGCTGGATTCAGTAATAGTATGCTTCTAAAATGTTCTGCTGAAAAAATCACAAAAAAGTTCCCCTTCAAGTGGTGCACCACCCCCATGTGTTACCTGGGGATATGGCTCAACCAAACTATACGCTCATAACTATCAATCACTACGCACCTAGAACGTACATTATATCTCCTGACTGGGCTGCTTCAGAGTGGTAAAAATTGCGCTATTGCTGAAGATAGTGATAGCATTCCAAATAGTTCTTATTTCAGTCCCGGCCTCATTTTTGAAAACACTAAAAGCAGAAATCAGAAAATTCATATGGAAAGATAGATCACCCAGAATAGCACATGTTCAACTAACACTCCCAAAACTCAGCCAGACTAAAACTCAGGCAGACTAAGGCAGACTAGCACTACCATACCAAGAAAAATAATATCTAGCCACACACTTCTCAAAAATAATCAACTGGACGCTAGCTGACAGCAGAAGAAAATGGGTTCAGCTAGATTCGGATAGTACATGCTAGGACCAGAGAGCCCTACCATGGATTGAAAAGGCAGACAGAGCATGACTCGCAATCACCAACCCATTCGTGAAGGCTACCCTAACCCTATGGCACCACAGGGGACCAAAATGTTTTCTGACAACAGACCTGAGCCCACTGCCCCCCTTAAGAAAAAATCCCACCTTCCCGACTGTGGCCATGGACCCCATGAAGACCCAGAGGATTGATAACTCCTGCCCCCCGAGTGAGAGATGCATGTTCCTCCACATGTTGTGGACCTGCAGGCAAATCCGCCCGTCCTGGTAAGAAATCAGTCACATGATCGTGAAATTCACAGAGGAGCCCCCCATATGGAAACAGCCATTTACCTGCTTCACTGCACCCAACTGGGGATGCATAGCTACAAACATTCTGTGATTCCATGCCTACTGAACATGGTGACGGTAGTGATCCCAATATACTTGAGACAACAATGAGTACCGTCACTACGCAAATGGGTTGAAGAGGTCGAAGACACTAGACATTTTGAAGACCTTAAACTCATCACTGCCAAGGACTGGGAAAGATACACCCAATCCTGGTTTTACCGGTTAGAGTTCCTGTCATCATCCGATTATATGAGGTTCCTCACTAATTAAGAACCACAGACACAGTACTGAATAAACTTGAAAGGAAAGGGAGACCACACCTTATTTGTCAGTCAAGCACACGCTGGGTACTTCATATTGATAATTTCACCAGCAAGTCATAGTTGCAGACAGCCAGGCATACGGGTATGTCAACCCAGACGCCTAACAGTTCAATGGCTACTCCAACGATAAAGTAACACTAATACGGAAACATTAGCATACACACTGATACCGTACACGAATGCTCGCAATGATTTCTGTTTCCTGGTAAGGTACCATGCTGCTGTGACTTGATCCCGCGTGCTTTTTATTTAATAGCACCACAAAACACACATGCAGTACTTCCCATGTCCACATATATCACCTAATGATATACATATCGCCCCCTATGACTTATTCTTAGTGAACCACAACCAATATGCCTATTCAGACACCCACATTGGAATACATTCAGCATGCGTTACTTTGTTGTTTGACTTTCTTCTGTGAGGTTTAAACATTGTTGCTTAAATAATATGCTTTTTGTCACTGGTTTTGTACGTGACAAACCGCCCTTTGCGCCTGGCGGTTGGAGGAGCCTGATTGCCAGCCTCCTTCCGCATGACTATGGCCCCTGGGAGATTTGGCCCTTTAAAAACATTATTTTGCCATATCGGGTTTTATTGCACTACTTCTGGCCCTTTAAATGCTATGGGGAAGGATTGGTACTTCTTATATGGCACTTCGGATGCAGTCGAAGTGCCGAAGTAGTCAAAGTGGCCGCCATTCGACAAACGAATGGCGGCGGCCATTTTAATTTAGTCGAACGCGGTCAGCGGTGTGTGCCAGCAAATCCATGGAACTAAAATCAGCTACACAAGTGCTCGAACACCGCTGACCCTTACCTTCTCCTCCACTTCTACGCTTCAGCTAAAGTCGAAGTGCGTTTGACGATTCGAATGGTTCCCCTTCGTGCACTCGAATGGGACTTAGTCAGTTTTCAGTGTGAAATTGACCGACCGCACAAAGGACTTTAAGCTAACTTTTGAACTACTGGGTGTAATTGTCTGATTTTTGGTTATGTTTATATTTAAAGTATGCTGATTCTGAATATGTAAAACCTGCATAAAATAAAGTCCTTTGGTGCCAATTAAAGCAGATCATCTTGTGTCTTCATGAAGTTTTGGCTCATGTTTGGGGGATTGGAGAATTGCCTACACTCTGGGGATTGCTATATCACAATACTCCCCAGAGTAAGCTCTTGTAAGAGTTGGTTCTTGTTCCTGCTCTCTTGATTAGGAGAGGTCTGCCTACTGGAAGGTGGTCCCTGGTCTTGGGGCCCAGAGTAGGAGGAAGACAGCGAGACCCCAACCAAGTTCGTAGGGTCTGTGGTGGTTATGGTGTCTAGTGGAGTGCTGCATCCATCAACGGAAGGTACTTGGTTGGGGTGCGAGCGGTTCCGTTTCAGTTCCACCAATATGTTTCTGCGAACCTCTGCATTGGAATACACGACCTACCTAATGCTGTAAATGTTTATTGGAAGCAGTTCTGCTTCGTCATGCATACTTATCTCTTTTTATTTGGATATATAAATTTGATTCCTGATTTCATTAGCCTCACATGCGAAATTGCATTAGTGATTTTGCTATGTGACTGCATTTATTACGTACAAAATAAAAATCATTTAAAACAAAAGGACATAAAAAAAATTGTTCTGCTGAATAATAATACATTTCTGCTATATAAACACTACCCCGTGATTACATTAACAGTCTCAGAGTACTAAACTTAAAGACTTGTAGATTTGCATTAATAAAGTCCTATGAAATATAGTATGGCATGTGACCTGTAACAATCAACATAAGAAAAAAAAAGTTAGAAGAGGACTCCTGAAATAAAGATTGTTTGGGTTTTTTAAAAAAAGAAATGGAAAAAAATCCTCCTATTAATTTAGTAAGATTGTATGCATACTCAATGAGTTATGCTTGATATCAAATTAAAGTTGTAACTGAACATGTTGGTGCTATTAATGTAAAGGGGATGCCAAACTTTCAAACAATGGAGGAATGTAATCAAGATTGAAGGATTGAGGCCAAATGTGTTGGGTTTTTTTTTTTGCATGATGGTAAAGATCAAGCCTCAAAACTATGGTATCTTATAGTGGCACGTAGGCAAGTATTGTTGATGTAGGAGAGAACCCTAAGATTGTGACTACGTGGATATGATCTGTGCATACTCAAAGCAAAAATGGTAAAACGGTGTGTGTCCTTCACATGTTGCATACTAAAAGTATGTCTCGAAGTGCTGACATAGGAACTACCTGAACCCAGCTGTGAACAAGATGGTTTGTTCCCATTTCAGAACTAGAGTTAGTAAACAGCACCACAGTAAAACTAGTGGCTAATGTAGACATTGCAACAGCATAGAGAAACAAATCCCTTAAATGGATGTACAAACAATACTGTATATATATTCTTACATTAGCATTCAGTAATCCACCCAGCATATGCTGTCAATATTGTGTCTATCAGTTAATTTCCAAGTTGTATCCCATGTAGTGAAGTTGTGAAGTTTAATTTTTACCCTCTTATCTTCGTGTGCCATCATGAAGAGAATGGGCGTTATATTTACTTTAGATGATGATAGATAGACACACACGTAGTGCCCCTCAACATTGCATTATATTCACATTTCTATGTTAAGTATGTTTTGCAGTATATGTTTATTTATGCATTAGGGCCATTAATCTTATAGTATATAATGTATATTACTTGATTCCATTTCTTATAAATTTTTTTTACTGTTTGTCTTCACAGCTCTGTGCGTTCCAGCAAGTGTCTGTCTGACTTCAGCCAGTGTGACAGTTTTTGTATCTCTTCCTCATTTGCTGCTATCACAGTGTTACTGGCTCCCAGTCCATGTAGCACAGTAATAAACTGCTTCATCCTCAGATTGCACTCCAGATATAGACAGGTACCCAATACTGCCTGAGCCAGAACCCACAAACCGTGATGGGACCCCCTGACACATCCCCTTGCTGGATTCAGTAAAATAGTAAAGGATGCATGTTGGATTACTATTAAATTTCTGCTGAATAAATACCACCCTATTGCTGCTGACAGTGAGCCCCCCACCTAACGTACAACTCATTTTAACATTGTTTCCAGGGGAGGTATTGATTGATGGCTCTTGTGTCACTGAGTGTTGAGCGTCGGCTCCTGGAAAGAGAAACACACAGAACAAGATATTAATTACACTAGATGTTTCACAAACCCCATTGTTATGACTGTGATACCAGGGTAACATTTATGTTGATCCTGTATAAGTAACCAACCCCTATGGACACAACACACGTCTCAGACTAATTATTACATTTATTGATAAAACTGGCTATCAACATAAAACTGCCGCTGTCAGCAGAGTTTACAGTAACAGTCTATTGATTACCGGTTAGTAAAACAGCAAGCAGACCAAAAATCAGCACAGCTGCCATGATACAGACAGACAGGTGGATCACTCACAAATGATGATTTAACTCTGTCACACTATACAGTGTTATATTACAGAGAGGATCACATGCACATCCTATATGCAAAACATGAACATGGCTTTAAAATGTGATATGATAAGGTAACAAAGACACTTTACATATGGCACTCCATGAAGAGTGACGTAGTCTGCTTTAAGAGCAGCTGTGTAATAGTCACTTATAACTAAAGCAATAGTTGTTTGTTTCGCAAGTTGCATTTCCTGTAAGTAGGTGGTAAAAAAACATACTTAAATCTGGCAGAGTTTTCAGGTTAGACCCAAGATCCTTTGATTGGAGATTCTTGCCCATGTTTTCAAATTAACTATATGTATCTAATTGGGGATATGTAACTCTGGGAGAAAAATAAAACTGCAAATAAATGTCAAAACCTGATGTGCCATGCTGCCTTTTGGGAGCAGCTATTCTATGTTTTGTGATTATTGTGCAATAAAAGTTTTCAATTAGCAGAAGACTAAAATTTGGCCGGGATAGCATGGACCATGCACAATTCCTGTTTACTGACGCATTGGTAGAGTACTCTACCAATAGACATCCCTACACACCGCCACTACCCCCACCCCCCACTGCTTTAAATCAGCAAAATAATGATGATGTGAGGCTGTGGCCCACAACCAATGTATGGGGCAGTAATGTGCGAACAGGTGCCTTGCGTGTTAATTATCATGATAAGCATGTTTTTGTAGTAGTATCACCATCCCACCAACAGCAGTAAACAATGGTAGGATACTAAACAGAGTCAAAATGGAATATTAATGAAAGCAAGCACTACAGGGGGCTCAATGATGTGGTGTGCTGGGTGTTTACAGGCACCCACTGAAATTCAAACACATTCAAATCCTGCTGATCATGAGGAGACAGAGTATCAGGTTTATAGATCTGTCAAGTTTTTATTTATTGTGTGTGACTGTTGCCGCACATTGCAGATTCCCCATAGTTAACTATTTGCATTGCAACTTGTGATGGAGGGTTTTTATCCATGACATGAACTTTAATCATATGCATGCCCAGACTGACCAGTGATCTAAACCCAGTGGGGCAGACCTTAACTTTACTTAAGTGTGTGATTTCCCTACTGTCTATTCATGAGCATGTATATGGTAAAGGGCTATTCCAAGCTATGGGAATAAAAAATACATGGCATAGTGCAATATTGTCTGTGGTAAAATGGATATATGAGTAAGTGCCAAATGTTCACTCACACTTTAACATCCCAAGAAATGCCTTAAGAAGTGTGCTTGGCGTGTCTTCTTGCTTCAATATATGATGAATATCGATCTCATATGAAAGCAAAAAAATTGAAAAAAGAAGAATAAAATGACTGTATGAATAAAGAGTAAAAAAAGCATTTATTACTTACATCAAAGTAAATAATATCAGTCCAAGGCGTTTCTTCCCTGTTAGGGACTTCCTCAGGGACAATCTTTAACAACAGTGTTGAATATAAATGCATTCGACCGGTTTAGTCCAATAGTCTCTTAATCTAGTGTGTAACTGTCTCCCAATCCATGTAGTGCAGTAATAAAATGATTCATATTCACACTGTGCTCCAGAGATTGCCAGAAACCCTGACCCAGAGTTCATAAACTATGCAGGGACCCTCTGACACATTCTCTACCCCACAGGTGTTGGTAGCTGCTAAGAGCAGCATTTGATTCCAGGACTGAGTTTGACATTGTTCTGGAGAAGGGAGTGAGAAGGGAGTGCCTCTTTTCGCTGTCAAAAAGAAGAGGAGGATTTAACCCAGCAATGTTAGCAAAGCAATGTAGCGTTTGGGAAGCAGGGATCTAAAGAATAAAGATCTAAAAAATAAACTAAAACATTTATATGGGTTGAAGAAGTAAAATGGAATCACAAAAGCAAATGTGAGCATATAATGATGTGTATAAGAGTGAAAAATTTGATCACGATAACAATTTGCATAAGTGCAGATGTGAGAACATACATAATTCTATAGTAAACATACACAAGTGAAATTAAAAACCACTAAGTGAATATTACCAATCAATATATATGTATCCTCCTAGCAGACAAACCAGTATAACTAAAGCTTAATACAATTTTATGTCAAAACACAGAGGCTCATATTTCTTAACCCAGCGTTTCCCAATTGGTGTTCCATGAAATCCTGTGATTCCGCAAGAACAAAATTGGTGTTCTGCCACGATTAGCCACAACCTAGATGGCATCCGCTACCTGCTGTTCCCAGAAGGTCGGAAACAACAGAGATTGAGCAACCGTGATCTTATTAAGAGATCTTATTAAGCCTTATTAAGCCTCATAACCACACTCTCCCGTGAACTCAAATGACTATTTCACACATTTAACTCTCTTCTTCGCCCTGCTGTTCCTCCTCCACCTACTAACTTGACCACCTCAGACTTTGCAACTCACTTCACTGACAAGATCTCTACAACCAATCTCTCATCTTTCTTCTTCCCCTTACAATACTTCCCCTAACTTCACTCCCTCTGCTGTTCTATGTTCATTCGCACCCGCTACATTGGAAGAGGTTTCTGCTCTGCTCCAGTCCTCCCGCCCCACCACCTGCTCCCTAGATCCAATTCCCTTGCATCTCATCCGTACTCTGTCTTCTTCTCTTTCTCCACCTCTCACTAAAATTCTCAATCTCTCTCTCTCCTCTGGTATATTTCCATTGCCCTTCAAACATACAGCTGTAACCCCAATTCTAAAGAAGCCCAATCTTGACCCTAACTCCCCGTCCAACTATCGTCCTATCTCGATACTGCCTTTTGCATCCAAGATCCTTAAAAAAATCGTGTGTGCGAGAATGACAGACTTCCTCAAGTCCAACTCTCTGTTAGACCCGCTTCAGTCTGGTTTCCGCGCTAATAACTCTGTGGAAACGGCACTGACTACAAAATCTCGTGGTCACTACTCTATCCTAATTCTCCTTGACCTGTCTGCGGCTTTTGACACTGTTGATCATCAACAGCTTTTTCTCATCCTCCGCAATATCGGTCTACAAGATATTACTCTCTCCTGGTGCTCCTCCTACCTCTCCCAGCGCCCTTTCAGTGTTTCTTTCTCTGGCTCTGCTTCTTCTCCCCAACTCCTCTCTGTTGGTGTCCCCCAAGGTTCAGTCCTTGGTCCCCTACTGTTCTCCATCTATACTGCCTCCCTTGGTAAACTCATTAGCTCATTTGGCTTCCAATATCATTTCTATGCAGATGACACGCAAATCTACCCGTCAGAGAGCCCACCCTGCCATCATCCATTTCCTATCACTTATGGTTGAGAGTGATAGAGAGTGGACCTGAAAGTGCAAGCTTTTTTATGGGCATTGAAATTTTTGTTTGGGACATTGAAAGGCTCTGTTAGGTAGGGGCATTGCAAGGCTCTGTTGGTTCATTGAAAAACACTGTTAGGTAGGAACATTTAAAGCACTGTTAGGTACGGGCATTGCAAGGCTCTGTTAGGGGAATTGGAAAGCTCTGTTAGGTATGGACATTGAAATTCTCTGTTAGGGACATTGAAAGGCTCTGTTAGGTAGGGATATTGAAATTCTCAGTTAGGGACATTGAAAGACTCTGTTAGGGGCAAAAAAACTGAAAAAAGTTACTTGGGTTGGGCTTCTCATCTTTTTTTTTTTGTTAAACGTATTTAGAAATTATTTATAATGTATATATACATATTCAAATCTTTTTGCTCCAAGTCTGACCCAAAAATACTGCTTAAGTTCATTCTAAGAGCTTTATAAAACACTGCATCCTTTGCAGTGAGTTATTGAGATCTGTTTCAAAGTGTTCAAATACTTTTGCTCCAAGTCTGACTCAAAAATCCTGCTTAAGTTAAGTTCTTTCTAAGAGCTTTATAAAAAAAATAAAAAAAAAACACAAAAAAAAAACAGCATCCTTTGCAGTCACCAATAATTATTATTATTATTTTTAATTCTTTAGTTTTAATGTGTGGAGTAAGGTACAATTGTGACAATTCAGAAAGTATATGGTAAGCAACAGAGTCATAGCTTGCTAACAATACATGTGTATGAAACAGCACACATTTATTTATTTTTAACAAGATAGAATCAACCCAGTGCTAAGCTTTACAATATGAGGTGAGGGAGTAAGTAGAGTGTGTGCACTGAGAAGAAATAGCAAGAGAAGGTATACCAGGAACTGTGAGAGAATAATGAGCGTTGGTCTGTTATGGAACCTCCAGGAGGTCCCCCCTGTAGGTGAATAGTGAATGTCCTGAGTGTAGACTATCAGGTAGATGCTGTTAATGTCCCTGGGTCAGAGAGAAAACATCTCAAGCTGGTCAGATCTAGCCGATTTATGTGGGATCTCACCCATCTGCATGATGTGTAGGCTCTGGATATCAAGGAAAGAGCTCTGCTGCCCTCCACTCAGTCTGGCACCATAGCCCCTCCGACCAACTGGTGGGCTGGAAATCCATCGGTGATTCTTCCTCTGCCCATCAGGACAGTATAGCTGCATTCGAGCGGCAGCAGGAGCTTTGCAGGGATCGGGGGAGCATGCAGCGTCCTTGGGTGCAGTGCCTGAAATAACGTTGCGCGCCCTTAGTTTTTGCAGATGCCTCCATGGAGTGGACTGTGATCACCCGCAAAGGTTCAAAGGGGGTGGGGCACCAGACAGCCACGCGGGCAGGAGCGGAGATAGTCCACTTCTTCACCCCTCCAGACGCACCTGGTCAACCCTCGGCTCTCCATCAGCACGGACACCGTGAGACATCGGACGCGCTCTGGTTCATCTGAGAAACTGATACAGAAGTTACAACAAGAAATCCAGAAAACATGTCAGAAATAGTAGAATCTACTGTTCCTCAAATATCAGAGACAAGAGACAAGTCAAAAAAAAAAAGGTGGCCAATCTTCTTCTCAAACAAGAAAAGAAATAATGATGACAGCTACATGTCATCTGGATTCAAAAGTCAAAGAAATGAAGATAGTCCTGAAGCACAATGCGCACTTTGCAATAAAATATTGCCAAACAGTTCA